AGGAGCGTTCACATCACTTCCACTGACCCTGGGCTCTAGCAGCAGCAGGAGGACCTAGGGGCACCCCAAGTGCTGGGTGCTGCTGAGCTCCCCTCTCCCAGGGCTGGGTCCAGTCTACCCAGTGCCAAGGGCTTGCAAAAGACCTGGGACAGAAAGCAAAACCCTTTCCCAGCACCCTGCACCTTTGGGCCCTTGCGGGGTGACATATCACAAAGATCCTTTTGTGTCAGTCAGGCCTGGGCAGCCCACCCCCTCGCTTCGCCTTGGACAGGGGCTGCTCACCTGGTGGTGGGCTTGTGCCGGCTCGTGGCTGCAGGCCGCTGTTGCCGGAGGACGGCGAGATGCAACGCATGATCATGTACTCCGCATCCTCTGCTGTGGGGAGAGAAGCCGGTCAGGACCACGGGGACCGCAAGGCCTGGAAGAGGCTGGATCTGAGACGCAGGAGGGTGCTGGGGGATGCCAGACCCACCTAGAGGCATCCTGGACTCTAGTGTGAGCAGGATTTGGCCTGGGGCTGGGGAAAGCACCCAGCTCTTGATGCCGAACACAGATCAAAGATTCAGGTGCCTCCGGGATTGCTCCAAAAGCAGGTCAAATATGTCTTGGCTTCTGGGCTTACCCCACAGCCAGCCTCCGGCTTCACCTTGTTTTAGCTCCCTCTTTGCTGCACAGTCTCAGCAAACAGCCCTTCCCTTCCAGCCCAGCCCCTGGAGAGGGGTTTGCTCGCTGGTCAGCTGGTGTGGGCAGCCTGCAGACACCCCCAGGCACACCTGGCTGGGACTTGCTGGAACAAACCCACTGGGCAAACACTAATGGGAACAAAGAGGGTGGAAAGGGATGGAGAAGGAAGTGCAGATCACGTAAAGGTGTCGATTCACCCAGCTGGGCGCAGGGGATGAGCTCTCCGGCTTAGCACCATTACGCAGGGTGCTCTGCCGCTGGGATCCGGAAAGGAGGGACCCGGATCCAGACAGCAGGGACCTAAAGAGCACCACAGAAGCCCTCTTGGCCGGGCAAGACTGGAGATAATAAGGGTGTCTGCGGCAGCCAGCTAAAACCTTCCTCTGTGCACCCACCAGCCCCAGGATACCTACATGGAGGACCCTGCAACCTGGCAAGCAGCTCAGCAATGGACTTCTTCTTGGCCTGAGCCACATAGCTGAGGTTCTCCCGGTCAAGGATCAGCAGGAAGGACTCCAGGTCCAGCAGGAGCCTGTCCAGATCTGCAGGCAACAGAAAGGAAGGGTCCTGGGACGAGGCTGCCAGGCCGTGTCTACCGGACGTCCCAGCAAGATGGGGGCTGACAGGGGAGCGAGCCAGGTCCCTAGAACAGGCCCACGGAGAAGGGCGAAGCCTGCGGCCCCGTTCAGCCCCACGAAGGAGCGGGGCGCATGGAAGGGCGCATACCCCCTTGCCCCCGACCCGTGCCAAACCCATCACCCCGGCGCCAGCTCCGCGCGCCCACGGCTCAGCTGGGCCCGCACGGCCCCCCCCAGCTCCTGGCTCCTGCACCTGACCCCAGCACGCGGCACAATCCGCCCATTCAGAGGACACAAGAGGTGCCCAGACAGCGGGGGGCGGGGGGCGCAGAAGGGGGCAACAGGGAAAGAATAAGCAGCCATGGGAGACTGAGAGCCTTTATGTTTGCAGTCAAAGAGCAGGCTTGTCTGCAAGACCCGCTTCCAGGTTCTTTGAGAGGAGCCATGAATATAGTATTTGACTGGCAGAAGGACAAATGCAGCTCAGCCCTCCATTAACTCCTGCGGTTCCCCTCCCCACCTACCCCCAGCCCCAGCTCCCGCACAGCGAGGGGCAGAGAAGCTCCTCAGTAGCCCCTCTTGTGCCTTCACGCCGTCCCTGCCAGTCAGGGCTGCTCACACATGTTGAATGTCTCGGCAATGTCCCCCAAGCGGCTGCCTTCTCACCTCTCCCTCCTCCCGTGCCCCTGCGGGCAGACAGCGGGGCGATAGAGGCCCTGACACCACAATCTTTCCAAAGCCACCGGCTCCCACGCCGCGGGGCAGGGAGGGGGAAGGAGCAGCTTTTTGCATGGCACGGAGCAAACCCGCTGACAGAGGCTGGCGTGCGCCCCGGGAAATGCTGAGCCTTCGCCCACCACCCCCTGCTGCGCTGGCGAAGAGGAATAAGCCGCCCCGCCGGGCCTGGGACGGGGCAAGGGCACCCAGAAGGAGCCTGTCTGCCTTTGCGGCAGACTGGGACATGCTCGGCTTCCTTGCCAGCTGCAGTGGGGCCAGCCAGCAGCACTCGGGGGTTGGAGACCAGGAGTCACATCCCATTCCTGCTACTCAGCATCGTGACGAGCATCTCCAAGGCAGCCTGTGCATTCAGAGGGACGTGGTGGGACTCCTGGCTCAGGACCTGCCAGCCCTGCTGCATCCCCTACAGCAGCGGGTCTCCACCCATGGGTCTCAACCCAAAAGTGGGTCACAAGAATATACGAAAGGGTCATGAACAAGCTTTAAAAAAGGATTCTCCTTTAAAGGACAAAAACATGGGAAGCGGTGGGTTTTCTCTTGCAGGCTGGCAGAGCTCCAGCTTGCAAGGGGATGCTTGGGCCTCCCGGTGCCCTGCACCACCCCCCCCCCAGGGCCAGGGGGCTGTTTTCTATTTAAACTGTTTACTGAGT